AGAGAGAGAGTGAGAGACAGAGTGAGAGACAGAGAGAGAGAGAGAGAGAGAGAGAGAGAGAGAGAGAGAGAGAGAGAGAGAGAGAGAGAGAGAGAGAGAGAGAGATTGCATTGGGCAGTTGCCTACACCATGAATGCATCACCCGTCATATCTGTTTTTGCGAGCGAAGCCGCAACAGGTCATCTAGTCGGAATTTGATCCTGATGGGGAAGGAGAGGGTGGGAGAGGGGGAAGGGAAGGGGTCTTGCACCATGTCGAAGACCTGGCTATGCACAGGACCTGAACACCAGGGTGGCCAAGGGTGCACCATGGCCACCGAGCATCATTTTGGACTCAGGGGGAGCTCAGACCCTATATTGTGGTCGTTTTTTATTTTTCACACTGGTGGGGTGCGTTTCTGCAGTGCTTTATTTCCATGCACTCCTTCAACCACTCCTACCTTCAAGCCTCTGTTTCCCGGGGGGGATTTGTGTTGTCCCAAAGTTCAAAACGAACTTGCTTGGCAGTGTCGGCACTCCTTTTTTTTATTATTATTGGCTGTCGCTGCCAGGCAAAATGGTTCAGGAGGCTGAGCCCTAGAAGAATGGGGTGGTAAACCTATTCATGGTGGTTTAATGAAAGTATTTTACCATATTGGGCCCCTGTCCCAGTTCGAGCTCGGGTCCCAGTTCCAGTTCCAGTTCCAGTTCTCTCCTAGTTTGAGTTCCAGTCCCAGTTCCAGTCTCAGTTCCAGTCTCAGTTCCAGTCTCAGTTCCAGTCTCAGTTCCAGTCCCAGTTCCAGTCTCAGTTCCAGTTCCGGTCCTGTGTACAACAGTTCTGTCCCATGTATAGTTCTGTACTTGGGACTCAGTGCGACTCAACCTTGCTCTGTATAGTATGAACCCTTCCTGTCCTTTGGTCTCTCCATGCCGCCCGCCTGTCTGTCCTTTCTGGTCTCCATGTGAACCGGATGATCCGGTTCAACTCAGTTGCAGACTAAGTAGTAAGAACACTATGGCATTTGTCTCCCTTTCATACGAAGCCGTAGTTGCCTGTTGGGCAATAACAAACCTGGAACAGAAAGTTGTCAAAAGGCCAACACACTAACACATGAAACAAATGCAGTGATTCCAATGAGCGAACAAACAAATAGGAACATGAGTATGGTGTGAGGTGATTTGATGAAGGTGAAAATAACAAAAGAGAGCAATGTGGAAGTGCAGAGACGAAAAGTAGGGTGCTCTGGGCGTGAACAAAAGAGAATGTTTTGGAAGTGATGAGCAAGGAAACCACGGACACAAACAAAGACAAGGACATGAAGATGGTGTTCAGGAAAGTGGAGCAAGGAAAACCTGTATGAATGGACACATACCAGCAGGTCCAGCACAATCAGGTACACGACAACGGAACGAGATGATGAGATGAATCGTGGCGAGAAAGTGATGAAGAGTGGGAAGGTACAGTGAACACGAACATGAGGGGGGAACATGAGCATGAGCACGATTGAGTCCCCGCTTTGCCTTGTGGCATAGTCACTGTGGACAATGAACCTTCGCTTTAACACAATGACAAGGGGAATCACGACATGAAACAGTGAAAGTGATGAAAAGTGGGAAGACATGGTGAACGTGAACACGAGAGGGGAACACAAGTGTGAACAAGAACAAATACCCCCTTGGCAGACAAGAACCATTTTGCTTTTATGCTTTACAATGATCTGGGAAACATCCCCCCTCCCTCCTTCCAACAAAAAAAGAGGATATGCGGTAAGAATGCTGAAACGCTCCAATCTTGTTTGGGCATACTGACTGATGCACAGGGTGATAGCATCTATATCAGGTGATGCTGTTGTCGTCAAGGAGTTGAAGGTGTTCGCAGGACGTTTAAGGGATATTGATAAATCTCCATCTGAATCACTGTCTGAGGAAGACGCCAAGACCCTGCTTCAAGGTTTGTTCTGAATCTTGCTGGTAGGCCAATATTGTTCAGGCCAAATCATCATCATCATCATCATCATCATCATCATCATCATCCTCATCATCATCATCATCATCATCATCATCATCATTGTCATCATGATCATCACCTTCTTCTTCTTCTTCTTCTTCTTCTTCTTCTTCTTCTTCTTCTTCTTCTTCTTCTTCTTCTTCTTCTGGTTCTTTGTCGTCGTCGTCGTCGTCAACATCGTTGTCATCGCCGTCTTCTTCTTCTTCTTCTTCTTCTTCATCTTCATCATCATCCCCGCCATCGTCTTCTTTGTGTTCTTCATCTTAATCTACTTCGTCTTTTTCGTCTTCTTCGTCTTCTTCGTCGTCTTCTTCGTCTTCTTTGTCTTCTTCTTCTTCTTCTTCTTCTTCTTCTTTTTCTTCTTCTTCTTCTTCTTCTTCTTCTTCTTCGTCGTCGTCGTCGTCGTCGTCTTCTTCTTCTTCTTCTTCTTCTTCTTCTTCTTCTTCTTCTTCTTCTTCTTCTTCTTCTTCTTCTTCTTCTTCTTCTTCTTCTTCGTCGTCGTCGTCGTCGTCTTCTTCTGCGACTGTGATGTGTCCAAGTTTCATTGTCAGTTTTGCTGGAACTGGGTATTGTTATTTTCCGGAATTAGATTGTGAAAAAGACGAGCCATTTTTGTGGTGCATTTGCTCAGCCCCTCTTCGTGCAGTTTTCTTGCGATGAAGTGCCAAGCTACCAGCTAGATGCATGATTGTCGGTTAGGTTCGCCTGTCCGCAGGTACCGTCTAACTCTGACATCAAACCACGGGCAAGCCTCTATTTCCCAAACTGGATTTCTGCTGGAAGCCTGGAAGCCAATTTTAAATTTTTGTTGAGCGCGTGCGGGCGCTGCCAGCCTTTTCTGTCGTCTCAGTAGGAACGAAGTAACCGGTAAAAGTACTGGGAATGCGCCCTTCTCAACTCCATCCCACGGGCCGTAACGTGCGGAAGCGTTGAGGGTGGGTTAGTTGTTGTATCCAAGGGACGCTGGGCCCGGTTTCCAGCAGGAGAAGATCCCCACCAGTTGAAACGCGAAAGGAGCCTTCTCTTTGCAAAAACAAAACAAAAAAAAAAGAACTGGGAAAAAGTACTGGTGGTTTGAGCTTCCTTACTGCTTTGTCAGCCAGGGACCATATTGAACCCAGATAGTAGATATCATAGAGTTGAGTCAGGTGACAAGACTGAGGTGTTGATGATCATAGTCCTACCGATGAGGGAGGGAGGCTGCCTAGGGCTTTTCTGCAGGTTGATAACTGGGTAATTTCTCTAGCTACCAGGATTTGACCCATTTCTGGCCATGTAACCTCTTTGTTTACCATAGTCCAAAGATAATGTGAGTCTTGGTTCCCAATGGACCATTACAATCGATCAGAACTGCCCTTCGGTTGGGGTGGGGTAGGGGGGAGGGGGGAGGGTCCTCTCCCAGCCACTAGCGTACTGTCTTAGATCAGTTGACTCGCGTTCCGGACCGTAGTCTGACAGCCTCCGTCACCCTGACCAGCGCTTGGAAAGAGGAATTAGATGTGTGCACTGCACGTATCAAAACTGCCAAGCCATCAGCAAACGTCAAGGCTGCAGGGAGGTCAGATTGTGGTAGGGATTAGTGTTTATTGGCAGAAAGTCTATCGACTGAGGCGTCTTTTCTGAGGAAGGAGGTGATTGCCGCTGTGATGATCAGGAATATCAGAGGAGCCAAGGGGTCGCCGTCCTCACTGACCTTGAGAGACTGAGAGTTCTATTAACCTGAACTCTGCTGGACTGTATAAGATGCCTCATTTCGTACCCGTTTTCTAAATCCTTCGCCAACTCCCATTTTCTCCATAGACTTAAGGAGGAAATCCCAATCCACTTGGTCGTAACCTTTTTTCGAAGTCAAAGAATAGGATAGCAAGCTATTAGCAGCTTGCGCCTGTCTGCCTGAAACCTCACTCTCTCCCATGCTAAGCTTTTTGTACGGTTCGGGAAACAGATTCTGAGCCTTTAGATGTGTGTGGTCTGTGGCCGTGGTTTAACTTTAAGACTTTCTACAGCCTGTCGAGAGAGAGAATCTAGGATCCTCTTTTGCCCCATGCTTCCACAAGTCATGCCTGTGCAAATAGCACAAAAAGGATAACCCACTCCAAAAAGAAGGCCTATTTCTTTGTACATGCGATGTGGCTGAAGAGCCTTTAGATGTGTGTGATCTGTGGCTGTTGCTCAACGTAAGGACTTTCTACAGCCTGCCGAGAGGATCTAGGACTGACTTTTGTCCCATGCTTCCACAAAGTCATGCCTGTGCAAAATAGCACGAAAAGGAGTACCCACTGCCTGCTGACAACGCAGAAAGCTCTGAAAAAGTGCAAAAAGAGAAAACCTATTTCTTTGTCCATGCCATGTGGCTGGCTGAATGGCACACACCTAGAACTGTTGGTAATTTTGAGTTCAAATCAAATGTATACAATAATGTAGACACGAAAGGGATTTAGATTTGTTCTGCGGCTATTTATCTCACTTTAACCAGTGAAGTGCGCACTCTGCAAGCGCCTGGGGCATTTTAGCCAAATTCAACTACACTTGAATGGATGGTGCGAAGTCCTCCAACCACTCACCAAGGAGTAAAATTGCGAGAGTAAGGGCCTCGGTCCACCATGTAGCATTCTAAATGTGAAAAAGACAGGAAAACAAACGAAGAGGAAACTGCACAAAGGGAAGAAAGGGGCCCTCGGTCCGCAACGCACCAACTGTGAGAAGAAGAGAAGAATTAAACGGCGAGCGTATTTTTCCACGTCATTCCAGCTGAAGACAGGGCGTTGCCACCCTGCTCATCGCTCCACATTTGTGGACCAGATACTTCGACTGATTCCGACACTCTGAATGTATCGGGACAGTCATCCTTTGGAACACTTCCAGCCATCAAAGAAACACAAAACAATGTTGAAATTCAAACATAAAAAGATGGAACGTGAAGTAATTTCTCTGGTCATCGCATACCTAGCCCCCATCGTGGGCCGCAGCTTAGCGGAATATAACCATAGGGCTGAAGTTTCATGTTTCAAAAAAAAGAGCCGCGTGATGATCTTTAGCAGCACACAAACTTTTCAGCAAGTTCGCAGCCTTAAAAAAAAAAAAAAAAAAAAAAAGTTTGAAGCGCTACTACATCCACAACATTCACAGCAGTAGACTGTCATAGTATTGTCGGAGTCGTATTTGGACGTTGGCACCCTGAAGAATTGCCAATACTGTGAGCCTAACTGAGGGGCTGCTGAGCAAGTAAAGACTCTCTGCACACCTATTTCACTAAATCCACAAACTGCTGACAATAAGGGATCAATGTTTGTACTTGTTGTGGCAGCTGGGTTGAGGGAGTGCTTGGCAATTGAAGAGGCACTGCAAACGTCCGTAAGGAATGGTGAGGAGATCACTTCCAGTCATTGTGTCTTCTCGTTGTTCGTTTCATTAAGATGTTGGATCTTTGTTGAATCTGTTGATGCCTTTTTTTTTTTTTTTTTTTTTTTAACATGAAACACAAAGGCCCCCCTTCTATTCTGGGGGGCAGCAGTCCGGCTAGCGGTTACCTATCACCGGCAAGCATGTTTGTACATCCAAAGAAAGGGGGGAGATCAGATCAGAAAAGGGGAACAACCCAACCAGTGTGCAAGTGTGTAATCCAGGTATGGGACTGGAGAATGTCCTTCACTGGGTCCATACTCCAGTATGAGCGCATGTCATAACGAACTCCAGTAATTCCTTACCTCTTTGACTTATCAGGTAACTGACTGAAGCCTTCTCAAAATGGAGGCATACTTGTATTTACTATTTAGTATTTACAATTTTCAACTATTTTGTCATTTTCTTTTCTCTTTGCCAATGTCTGCCTGTATTCTTGCGGACTTCTCTTTCGCTTCTTTAAGCACGCCAGTATTCCATGTAACTTGCAAGCTAACCTACTACCATTAGGGAAGCAGCAATCAGTGCTCACAGAGTTGCGTGGCGGCCAGAATAGGGCCCTGAGGACCTCGTCGTGCCTGCCGTCACTTAGGGCGGCCGACGGGCTGCAAAATGGGGCCTTATGGGGCTTATCGAGGCAGTGGCCTCGCATTCCCTCCTCCTTAGCTTCAACAGTCCTCTGAGAAGCACAGTCTTCGATCATGGGGCGCTTTCCCTTCTGTAGAGATTTCTCATAGTGGGCTACAACTTGAGGAGCGGTCTGCATGAGTTCTTCCCTCGTAAACCAACAGTCCTCCCTGGGATCAGTATGATGTCTGAACCGAATGCGGTACTGCAGCTTCGGTTTCGGAGGACGTCCCCTTCCTGCAAGTCTCTGAGCTGGCAGCTCCCTGTGGTCCACAATGTCATCGATGTCCACTTCTCCATCCATGGTTGGGGGCAGCATTGAGCGACGAGAAGGAAACTGATCAGTCTCTTTGAAAGGTGCCAGCTTGGAGGCGTGAAAGACAGGGTAAGTACGGAGATGACCAGGGATCCGGATAACATAAGATGGCCCATCCGGATCTGTCCCAACAATATCCAAGACTTCCCAGGGTCCAAAGTACTGGGGCATGAGTTTGCGGGAGATCCCGTGCTCCTGTCCCAGTTCTGAAGACTTAACCCAAACCCTATCTCCAACCTGAAATGTAGAATGCCGGCAGTGTCTATTCTCAGACTCTATCATTGCAGCCTGCGCCTTCTGCATCTGTTCTACAGCCTGCTGCATCTTCTGTTCATAGCGGTAAGCAAATTCCAAGGTACCTGGTGTAGCAGTGGATTGATTCTCAGGAAGAAGAAAGTCTAGGGGCAGTCTAGGCTTAAATGTTAGCAGTAAGCTGTTTGGACTCACCCCGGTGGCGCTGTGGACAGCGTTGTTGTAGAAGCTGGCGATGAGAGCAAGCTTCTCATCCCAGTCCACCTGGTTGGGCTTGATGTAATGCCTCAACAGGTGTTGTACAGCGCGGTTCAGTTGCTCGGCCTGACCGTTGGCCTCTGGGTGATTCCCAGAAGTCATCTGCAACTGAGTTCCCTGCTCTGCAGCAGCGGCCTTCCACAACTCGCTGGTGAACCGGACATCCCTGTCACTAATAATAGACGTCGGTAAACCAAAGTCCCTGACCCAGTTCTCTTTAAACATTCTGATCACATACTCCGTTCTGGCTGTTTCCGACATTGCCACTAACCTAGCATACTTGCTAAATCTATCCACGATGACGAAGATGTGTCGCATCCCACTCTTGCCGGTGACCAGAGTATCCATGAAGTCCGTGAACAGACTCTCACCAGGCCATTTCGGAATCGGAAGGGGCTTCAGGAGCCCAAGAGGAGCCTGAGTACGGGGCTTGTCTCTTTGACACACCTGACAAGTCTCCACGTACAGCTGGGCGTCTCACATCATCGTGGGCCACCAGAACCGTTGCAGTAGATTGGCTGCGGTCTTCTTGTATCCAAAATGGCCGGTGGCATTATGGCATTCTCCTAAAAACAAACTACGCAAAGACTCACTATTTGGGACACACAATCATTTATTACCTGCCTTCTCAAGGAACAACAAGCCATTGCCCAACTCAAACTCGACAGAGGTCTTCTTGTCCTTCGCCTGGAGTCTGTGGATGATCTCAGACATGAATTGGTCCTCGCGATAGGCTTCCACCATGGACTGAGCAACAGTGTCCTCAAGCCCAAACTCAGTGATCAGCGCACCCGAGAAGTCTGGTCTGCGCGACAGGGCATCAGCAACCTTGTTGTACTCGCCCTTGATGTACTGGGGCTCGAAGTCATACTGCTCAATGACTTCGATCCAACGCTTGAGAGCATCAGAGAGTACTGGCTGGGTTCTCATCCATCTCAGGTTCTGATGATCAGTCCTCAGGATGAAGAATCTCCCAAGGAGGTAATGCCTCCAATGGGTTAGAGCCTTGTACACCGCATAGAGTTCCTTCTCATAGGTGGACTTGGCCAACTTCTGAGAGGGCATCTTTTTGGACATGTACTCCACTGGCCTCAACTTTTTCCCCTCGTGTTGTGCAAGTACGGCGCCTATGCCATATTGGCTAGCATCCGTAGTTACTATAAATGGCTTATCAGGATCAGGAAGTTTCAAGACTTCGTAATGCGTCAACGCATGCTTCAGATGTCTGAAAGCAGCCTCGCATCTCTTAGTCCACTCTCATGGGGTGTCAAGGCGAGTCAGATCATTCAGAGGGGCGGCAACTATACTATAGTTCTCCATGAAGTTGCGATAGTAGTCGATCATCCCTAAGAATGATCTCATCTCAGTCACAGACCGAGGACGCGGCCAGTCACGAATGCTGGCCACCTTCGCGTCATCGGGCTTCAACCCTTCCCCGGAAATCTCATGACCCAAGTACAAGACACGGGTGCGGCCAAACTCGCACTTCTCACCATTAATCTTGAATTTGTGTTGTCGCAGGAGACTAAGGACTTTGTCCAAGTGTGCAACATGCTCCTCGACAGTCTTACTAAAAATAAGTATGTCATCGAGGTACACGATGACAAACTTATCCAAGTAGTCATGGAATATCCGATTCATAGCGTGCTGAAAGGTGCCAGAAGCATTGCAAAGGCCGAAAGGCATCACCACAAACTCGTACAGACCGTACCTGGTCTGAAAGGCGGTTTTGTGTTGATCCTCGGGCCGGATTGCAATCTGATGGTACCCGGACTTCAGGTCTATCTTACTGAAGTACCGACACCCTTGCACTCTATCTAACATATCATCGATGCGCGGTAGGGGCTCTCTATTCTTTGCAGTGATGGCATTGAGGCCCCTATAGTCAATGCACATCCTAGGTGTACCCTCCTTCTTCTTAGGTACGAATAGTACTGGAGATCCATAAGGAGAGACACTTGGCCGGATCCAACCCTTCTCTACGAGTTCCTTGAGTTGTCGGGGAAGCTCATCGAGCTCGCCTGGAGACATCCGATAGATCCTACCCTTCGGGATACTAGACCCTGGGATAATCTCTATCGCATGGACGACGTCCCTCTCTACAACCCTTGTCCGCTCTTCAAATAGATCAGGGTACTTGGCAACTGCTCCCTCTATCTCCGGCGGCATTTTTCACCGGCTCGCCTGCAACAGAGACATAAACTAGGTACATACCCTCCTCCTGATATTGCTTATAATAGTTATAGAACGCGGCCGCACACATGCATCCATGAGACTCGATCAGACTACTAGCTTTGAACTTGTGCAATCTGGCGGTCCCTCCACCTGGCAATGTATGCTTGACCACTTTTCGGTCCCAGGCAAACTTGGGCTGAGCCACAGAGAGGTAGTACATTCCTAGTAACATATCCATTGGGAGCTCGTCACTCACTAGGAACGAGACGCGATATCTTAATTCCCCTCCCGCGTACGGGAAACAACACTCAACATCCTGGAGGTAGTCATTGACTACCATGCGCTGTTTGTTGGCACAAGTCAACTCCACAGGTCGACCTAGGCGCTGCACTCGCCCCTGTAAACGCAGCCTCTCAACGCACGCGCGACTAGTAAAGTTCCTTGTCGAGCAAGTGTCATAATAGGCCCCGGCCTTGCGGCCGCCAATGACAACCTCGCTGACGAACATCTCACGCTTAGGGGCTTTGACCAGGGTCGTCCAAGAAGCTTGCGGGTCTGATCTAGACCACTCCACCTCTAGCTCCTCTAAGGACTCAAACGCATTCATCGAACAGAGGCTCGATGGGTATGAATGTGCTTGCGGGACGACGCTGGAGTCAGTAGCTTGGGCCATCTCTCGAGATGGTGAGGGTGTCTCCACCACCTCGACCCTAGCAGGAACAGCTACTATTCCTACTGACCCGACGTGTTTCCCGGAGCACTGCTAGAAGAACTAGCAACATTGGTACCAACGGGATGAGAGGATCCTAACACCTACCCCATCGTAGGCGGGATCTTTTCGGTTACCTTCTTGTTGCGGCACTTGTACTGACTATGGCCATATTGACCACATCTAATACAGGCCTGACGTGAGTACCGATCTCTCCGCACGTCCTCCGTGAGACCCGCTTTCTCCCATGGAGGAGCATTGGGGTCAACTTGACTCCTAGACTGGGAGCCTCCACGGCGTCTACCGGTCGCCTTACCTTTTTTAGCAACGGCAGCGACTACTCCACCCTCTGAAGCTTCAACGCTGCCCGCCTCTGAACCTACTCCCTCCTGGAAGTGTTTGTCTACTTCGATAGTAGATCCATCGTTATCGACAAACATTAAGCGACCCTTCGCCTCCCAGTTGGGAGGCAGTGTCTTCTTCCTCCCATCCGTAGTGGGTGCCTGTCCATGCCCTATCTTCGCCTCAAGGTCTAGGGCCATCTTGCTGAACGAAGGAAAGTTCTGCATATTGATGTTGGCCTCTCTTCCCAACTGGTTCCTGAGAGACAATGAGAAGCATCTCA